GTTACATGGAGAAAACTGGACTTATGCGAAATTGGCAATTGAATCGTTCACTGATCATGCAAACAATGTGGCCAGCAACTGGAGATTCGATTCCAGTCTGTCAGAATGAAGGATGTAAGCTGAACACATTGAAGTTACCAATATTTTGTTATTGCACCTATTATCTAAAACAAAAAATTGCATACATCCATTTCAGCACGCGAAACTTGTGCTTGTAAGCGTACGTACGCCATCGCTAAATGTCTGATGATTCGCTCTCTGGTGGATGCCCGCAACAAGCCGGTCGTTTGACGATAATTTGTTCGCCACAAGCAGTTCGATAAGCAGCTATAAGCAACTGCAGATACACTTTTCAATTGGGTTTATTCTATTCGAAATTGTGTGCTTTATTGTTATGTAAATGTATCCACGAGAATATCGCCAATTATCACTCGCTTTAATAAATAAATGTGCGCCTTGTTTCAAGCGTTTAATCTGCTTCAAAGTTTGGCTTTAGTCTCGGTAATAGGATCAATGAGCACCATTTCAAACGCAACTCTACAGGGGCTACTGTACGTAGACACGAGTATATTGACGGGTAACGGATGGAAGATATATTAGATATATATTATTACAAAGATTTGATACTAAACTTTCTATTGCGATTGGTAAAAGGCACACTACCTTTCAGCCAAGCTGCTTGCCAGGTTGAGGTGGCATCTGGCAGAATGAACGACCACCCCTTTGGAAAGATATTTGGCATTATTGAAATCTTGTCATCGAGAAACATGGTAACTCTGTGCTGGGTACCAAGTCACTGCGACTTCAACTAGCTTGTTAAAGCCAAGATCCACATGAAGATTTGTGGACTATCGAATACGTTTTCGAATTGTAGAATATCGCGATGAAAGTTTGACCTCGAATATACATACATAAATATGTATGAGTGTCACACCGGTTCTCAATCCTGCTTAGAGGAACGACTCACTGTCGCCCGATTGAAACGAAGGTTTGGGAAAGGTAGAAATAGGTACGTGGAAAGACTTTGAGAAGCAGTCCCGAATACAACTCAAAAATTTTACCACAAAATAAGGGTATCCTGATTTGTGAAATTCTACAGAAGGGCGCAGAGGCAGCTGAAGTCATGAAGTATTATTTACATTTACTTCACCTCAGAGGGCCGGCTGTTCAATGTCTGGTTATCACTACTTGCCGGTTAAACATCATTATCGACGTTTTCGACATCATGCATATAACATGTGATCGATAAAGCAGTCGTTGTACTTAACCAGAGCTTCTACCTCCGATTAGTGTTAATCAGATATTGAACAACCGGCCCTAAGTCTGTGATGCGCAGAGAGAGAGATTTTACTCTGTACAGGTCCATATAAAAACTACAGAGAACTTTGAAGAGTTCCGCTCGCGGGCGCTGTTTTTAGCATTACTGCCCTAAATGCATGTGTTCTCTTTTCATCCACCGCTAAACATACTTCGATAAAATAGAAACTTAATACCGAAAAGGCGTTCGGTGTACTCTACTAAGTAGGTTGCATAGATCGGCCTGCGTTGCAAATGCGTTGTCCAATGGATGATATACAATGTTTCAGCTGAATGCTTTGGAAATTTGTTTTTTAGGGACCACTCAAAAATTACCTACATTATGGAAGCTGGGTTCTGTTTGAGTATATAAATAATATACATTTCTATGTTGCCTCTTGATTTAGCAAGTGTTTCTACAATCTGTTTACTCTGACAACTCACTGGTATGAATTTATGTAAATTAGTTGCAATATTATGTCAAAATTGATCAGTTTTTAAGTCGAAATTTCTTCGAATTTTAGTGATTTAAAAGAAAAAAATCAAACGCTTGTTGTGACCCTAAAAATGTTTTTATAGTTATAAAATTAGCGGAAAGAAAGTGTTGTTCCATACAAAATTTAGACTTTGATATTTGGAGGACCACCCTAATATACATGTTTAGTTTTTGATCACGAGGATCACCAATTTTCCCAACGCCTTTTCTGCCCTTGGCCCACAGTGGCACGCGTCGCTTTATTCGTTGGCATGGCTCTTCGTTGGACGCTGCAATTGCACACTCTTCAAAACAGCCAAAGCCAGACACGACCCGCTGGCCCTCCACACGCCGTCACACGTAAAAACCTTCCTACATACACACATACATATGTACATATTAGGGATGTTAATTTGTTCGCTTTCTACGATCCCGGGATTATAGGGATGTCGTTATTACACTCACGGGAATTAAATCGAAAAAATTACTTCTGTCTCTCCTACTATAAAATAAATGGGATTAAAACCTACTTTTTTATTTAAAGTGGCGTTTTTATTTTTCTCGCTGACGTCAGGATTTATTTTAAAGGACTTTGTAATTTCAAAGATATGATTAACTTCAAAAATTATTTAAAAAATTCAATGCAATGTGGAATAAGGATACAAAATGAAAGAGGAATTTCCTTTAGAATTTAAAGAAATTAAAATTTTTTCGGATGCACAAGGACGAGTAGATATTTTTTTATGCTGTTAAATTTAGAAGGACGAAATTCTAGGATGTTATCGAGTTTATATAAGTCCTTAACTTGTAATATTTTCAAAAACAAATATTGCGGAATTTCAAGGATAAAATTTTAAATGGACACCTTCAATACATACCAGTCCTTACGCCCCAAAAATTTTAATCTATTTAAATTATACAGAATTTCCCATATACCCATTCTTCTTCCTTAAGCACATTTCATTGAATTTTTTTAATAATATTTGATTTATTGACGTCTGAGTTAAAAACTAAAAACCAAAATTTTACTATATTCGGTCCATTGTTTCGCGAATATATTGATCTTTGTGTGTAAAATTTACTATTTATAAAAAATATTAATTATTAAATAAAAAAATTAAGTAATTTAGCCAATACTGGTCAAGAAAAAGAGTTTCTATTATTGCCATAAGCGCAAATTACAAATTCCGATAATACCGGGACTATTTGCCAAGAGTCCCAGATTTTCGGGACCTTAAAAAAGGCCGCGGTCCCGGTATCCCGGGATTAACATTCCTAGTACATATTAATGGGCATGCCAACCTTTTTTTTTTGTACATATGTATTTATGTATGTATGTTTAAATATGCGCGCGCGTGCTTTTGAATAATAAAAAATAGTAAAGAAAAGCAAAAACAACAATAAAAATAGGGATTTTCTTTGCATTTACTTGTTGTTGTTTGTTTTGTGTTTTGTGTTTTGCATTTTCACCATTTTTTCGTTGATGTGTAAGTGCAAGTACGATTTGAATGTGTGTAGAGCGTGTCGCTCGCTTTTTAGGCATTCACTAACTGCTTGTTTTGCTCTGAGCTGAACGGAGCTGGAGTGTAGTGAAGTGGAGTGCAGTGAATTGAACCGGACTGTTTCACGTGCTTTTTCGTAACCCTACTTGATGCGGGCGGAGAAGGAAGGTGGTCGACGTCATACACATGATGCGTAGCTGCTTGGCTGGTAATGATGGCTCTCGTTGCTATTGTTGCTGTTAATGTTGTTGTTGTTGAATTTTATTAAGGGTGCTTTGATGCTTTTTTGTATAGATATTATTTGTGTTGTTGTTGGCGCGCAGCTAATAGCGCTGCTGAAGTGGATAGCAGGGTGGAGAAGGTGTTGATGATGATGGTGATGATGATGATGACGATTGATTATAATGGAATCTGAATAAGATAGATGTTTATAATTTGCTGCTTCATTATAATTGCTTACTGTTGCAGATATTTACATATACTTTTGTGTACCAGCCGTCACATTTTTAAACAGCGACCACAACGCTTTCCATGGCCTTCCATCCGCAATACGCTGAGTCAGCGCTGCTCTGGTTTTTGACTCATTTTTTAAATTTTCATTATTTCCAGCACACAATCATTATGGTATGTATGCATACTTGTGGTTCTTAAATGAGTATAAAATTAGCATCAGCATAGGCATAATCATTTTTTATGTACATAGCTGCTAGTGCGCCTAGTAACTTTGAAAATCGCCACTTCTTCGCTCTTCTAGCTATGCGTTGTCTTTACATCCTTTTAGTCACATCATTTCCTTAATATCTGCCCAGTCAGCATCACAGCATCAGCATCAGCTCATCTACTTGCAACACCACACGCTTCATCATTTGCCTTCGTTTTCATTACGCTTCTTTAGCCCCAACCTCATCTTCAACTCCCACTTTACTATTCATAGCCGCTCGCCTCCTTACGCCTCTGCTTCTCTGCCATCTCCTGCTTATTCCTCACCTCTCTCTCTAGCGTTGTTGTGGCTTTCTTCTTGTCGCTTACAAATTTATTCTTTCGTTCTGAGCGCCTTCAATTTACACACTCACTTCGCTACCCATTTTTTACTCTCCAATTTTTACACATTTTTTTCAGCTACCCTTTTTCAAGAATTTTTTCCATTTTTTAGCAAATCTTTTGCTCCAGCCTCTTTCCCTTTTTTAATTTTTTGTTTGGTTTTTTTTTTGCTATTTACATTTTGACCCGCGCACAAACCAATTCCCTGTTGCTGCTGCTGCTACGCCCGCTGGACAGTTAGATGCAATATCGCTCTGTTGTTGCCACGGCGACGAAGTTGGCGTCGTTGTATCTACACATTCGTTTTGGTTAGCTATGCTCAACTGTTTTTGTTGCTTGTGTTGCTTTTGTTATTGTTATGGTCACCCCCTTGCTGATGTTGCCTCCTTTGAAGCTGCATCGACAGCTCTGGCTGTTGTCGTCCATACAGATTTTTTCTAGTTTTGTTTTTAGCCATTTTGGGGTTGCCAAGCTTGATTAAGTCGGAGTAAGTTCTTACTGTTCAAAATGGGTTTTATATTACAAGGAACATTTTCAATCAATTTGCTGTCGGCGAGGCGAGTCGGCGAGTTCTACTTTTCCAGCGCATAGAGAGTACAGGAACTCGGTTTTTTAATCGCGATCAAATAGTAGCCATAGGGGCACACGAAAACGTGGAGGGAGCTCCTTAAGCAAAGCAGAGGAGAAATCTCCTTGGCTATGGGTCTACTGACAGCTCAAATAGCTTTAGGGATGCATGCGGAGGGACTCGGGAGTGCCTTTTAATGACTTATGTGGGAGCTCAGAAAGCGAGAAGGCGT